AGGATATCCGCAGTAAAACCAGAGTGACCGACATAGCCCAACGGATTAGTAAGCTGAAGTGGCAATGGGCCGGCCATATAGCTCGAAGAACCGATAACCGATGGGGAAGAAAGGTTCTCGAGTGGCAGCCTCGTACCGGTAGGTGTAGTGTAGGGTGACCCCCCACTAGATGGATAGACGACCTGGTAAGACATGCAGGAAGTCGATGGATGCAGGTGGCTCAGGACCGTGTTTTGTGGCATTACTTGGGGGAGGCCTATGTTCAGCAGTGGACTTGTGAAGGGCTGTAATGATGATGATGATGATGATGATATCATCCCCAAAAATAGGAAAGGAGATGGGCAGCAGCATCTTTCTAATAACAACAATAACATAATAAAAAATTGCGGTTGCCAACCCGCTCGCCAAGCGTGACAACTATGGCAAATATCCCCCCATGAGCAATGATGCAAATAAACGGCCTCCAGTCCCCGGCGGCACCCGCTATTCCTGGCTACGGTTGTGACCACGGTAACGGCGGGGCAGGGGGTGCTAAGAATCTCCGGTGGAGGTTCGGTTGCCACCTACGACGACTCGACCTGGCAACATATAACGCACGCACCCTGAGGACTGACGAGAAGATACTGGAGCTGGAAGAAGAGGTTGACAAGTTGCGCTGGCATATTATTGGATTATCTGAGGTCCGAACAGAGGGGGAGGACACGATAATCCTCGAGTCCGGCAACTTGTTCTATCACCGGGAGGGCGACCATCTGTCCCAAGGAGGTGTCGGATTTATCATCCACAAGTCTCTCGTCAACAACGTTGTAAAGATTGGGAGTGTGTCGACGAGGGCCGCGTTCCTGATGCTCAGAATCACCAAACGGTATTCGCTGAAGGTCATACAGGTCTACGCACCAACCTCGGCTCATCCCGATGAGGAGGTGGAGGAAATGTATGAGGATATTTCTAGAGCCATGTATTCCTCCAAAACCCAATACACAGTGTTGATGGGAGACTTCAACGCAAAACTAGGCACAAGAGAAGGCGGTGAGCTGATGTTAGGGAAATTTGGAGTAGGGCAACGGAACCGTAGGGGCCAGCAGCTAGCTGACTTTATGGAAAAAGAGGGACTCTTTATGATGAATTCTTTCTTCCAGAAGCGGCCCCACAGGAAGTGGACTTGGTCGAGCCCCGATGGTTCGACAAAAAATGAGATTGACTTTATTATGACGACCAGACGCAAACTGTTCAGTGATGTCTCAGTGATCGCAAGGGTGAAACCGGCAACGATCATCGAATGTTTAAAGACACACTGAACCTAAACGTTAAGTTGGAGAGGTCTCGTCTCATGAAGTCAACGCTCCGTCCCCCTCGTGCTCTAATCCAGAACCCCGAGACTTTTCAGCTCGAGTTACGTAACCGCTTTCAGTGCCTAGAAGATTGAAATGCAGTGGACGATATGAATGACAAGCTCGTGGAAACTGTCCATGCGGTCGGAGCTAAGTTCTGCAAGACCCACCGCAGAAGAACACAAAAACACTCCGATCACACTCTTAATATCATGGCTGTTAGACGGGAGATGAGGCTGCAATCGTCAACAGAATTGACAGCATACAGGCAACTGAACAGACAGATCTCCAAATGCATGCGGCGAGACTTACGCAACTTTAATACTGCTCGTATTAAAGAAGCGATCGAGCGGAACCAGGGCTCCAAAGTCTTTGCCAGAGATCTATCTGCCAGAAAGAGCCAACTGTCAAAGCTGAAGATTGAGTGTGGGAGCATCGTTTCCGAGACACCTGAGATTTTGAGACGTTCTATGGGCAGCTGTACACATCATAGTTGGAGCCACACGCAAGCGTGAGTAACGATCCAAGAGCAAGTCTTACCCGACACTATTGCGATGATATCCCGGACGTCAGTCTGAGCGAGATTAGAATGGCTCTCCAGCACCTTAAAAACGGCAGGGCCCCAGGCGAGGATGGAATTACAGCGGAGATTCTGAAAGCGGGTGGAACACCGGTACTCGAAGTGCTTTAGAAGCTCTTCAATTCCGTCCTTCATGGTGGCACTACTCCGGAGGCGTGGAGCAGAGGTGCGGTGGTCTACAGACCGATTTCCCTTCTGAGCCAGCCGCCCGAACAAGCCGGTTTCCGAAAAGGTTTCAGTACCATAGATCACATACATACCCTGCGGCAGATTGTACAGAAGACGGAAGAGTACAATCTGCCACTTTGCTTGGCGTATGTAGCCTATGAGAAAGCCTTTGATTCCGTCGAAATTTGGGCGGTGCTTCAGTCCCTTCAGCGGTGCCAAGTTGACTGTCGGTATATCGAAGTGCTGAAATGTTTGTACAGTAGGGCTACGATGGCTATCCGAGTACAGAACCAGAGTTCGAAACCTATCCAACTGCAGAGAGGTGTAAGGAAGGTTGACGTTATATCCACGAAACTCTTCACCGCTGCGTTGGAAGACGTTTTCAAGCTACTGGACTAGAAAGGATACGGCATTAACATCAATGGCGAGTACATCACTAACCTTCGATTTGCCGAAGATATAGTCCTTATGGCATAATCGCTGGAGGACCTTAGCACTATGCTCAATGACCTCAATGGTGTCTCCCAACGGATAGGTCTTAAGATGAACATGGACAATACAAAGATCATGTTTAATATCCATGTCACACCTATGCCGGTAGTTGTTGGGAGCACTATGCTCGAAGTTGTTGACGAGTACGTTTACCTGGGACAAATAGTCCGACTAGGTAAGTCCAACTTCGACCGAGAGGTCAATCGACGGATTCAACTCGGCTGCGCAGCGTTCGGGAAATTACGACACATCTTCTCGTCAGGTATACCAGTGATGACTTACGAATCAGAGACGTGGTCCTTCACTGCTGGCCGTATGAGGACGCTCAAGGTCGTTAAGCGTGCTATGGAGATGGCTATGCTCCGAGTTTCTCTGCGTGATAAACTCAGAAATAAGGATATCCACAGTAAAACCAGAGTGACCGACATAGCCCAACGGATTAGTAAGCTGAAGTGGCAATGGGCCGGCCATATAGCTTGAAGAACCGATAACCGATGGGGAAGAAAGGTTCTCGAGAGGCAGCCTCATACCGGTAGGCGTAGTGTAGGGCGACCCCCCACTAGATGGAGTGACGACCTGATAAGGCATGCAGGAAGTCGATGGATGCAGGTGGCTCAGGACCATGCTTTGTGGCATTACTTGGGGGAGGCCTATGTTCAGCAGTGGACTTGTGAAGGGCTGTAATGATGATGATGATGATATCATCCCTTAGGGTCGTAAGAAGCGACAGAGGGAAACTAATCAGAAGATGGAGAGTATCATCTTACTGTTAACAACTAAAATGAAAGAAAAAACTGTGGTTGACAAACCGCTCACCAAGCGAGTCAACTATGGCGAAATCCACCCTATGAGGCAGTCTATGGGGGAAGCATAATATGTTCAGCAGTTGATTTTTATAAGCTTTAGTGGATGCAATGGATATTATTGTGTAGTCTGCTAGAATAGATTGAGAACAGAATTGCAATATTCATATCATTATTATTCATATCAATATTCATTATTATTATCAATTTCATTACAGTATATACAAGTTCACAGCTGAATGTTTTATATGTATTAGAGGAATGCTCAGCTATGTTATGCTTGTAGCACGATCGAGGTAGGACCTCGCTCTCACAGAATACCAGCGTAAAATAGCAGCTTAATGCTGCTGTATTTCGTATGGTGAGTGTAGAGATTGGGAGACCCTTTTTTACAGGAAACGACGCATTCCATCTAGTCCTCGGGGGTGACAACGTATCTGCATTTTGATTCTTAATCGTGGATAAATGTAGATGTGTATGGGCCGCAGCATCCACTGACCTTCAGGTGGAGTGTGAGTTTTTCGTCGCTTGTCACCCCCATTCGATAAGAAACATGGACCTGCTGCAAGGAATGTTACTAAGTACGGTCTTGAGTCACCTGCATCAAACGACTTCCTGCATATCTTACCAGGTCGTCACTCCTCCTAAAAGGCCGCCGTATGATAAAATAATAATAAATAATAAACAAATAAATAAATAAGTATACTTCGCTTACCGGTACGAGGATGCTAATCGATAATCATTCTTCCCCATCTGTTATATATGTCCGTCCGTTTCTGATTCGTTGGGTTATATCGGCGACTCTGGTGTTACTTAACCCTAGATTTATAAACACACGTCTCTCATTCATACTCAAGTAATAAAACTCTCACAGCGCGTGGCGCGAAAGAGATGGAAATACAAGCCTTTCAGTACCTTCCTAAAACGACGAGAGCTCACTTCGGCACCAGCAGTTTTGGCGCGTACACGAATAGTTTCGGATATACTGAGCCCAAGGTGTTTGAGATACGTATATTTATGATTAGTATGACAACATTATAAAGTAGATAGTTTTATTGTTTGCCTTACAAAATGAAAGAACGTCATGGAATTTTTCAAAAAAAGGTATGTATTTATTCTATTACATAATATGTAATTTATTATTAATATGAACGATTATTATTAATTTCCGTTGTTAAAATTTTGAAAAGCAAAATATTTTATTAGGTATTAATTCGTTGATTACAGTTATTATTTATTGGTATTTATTTCAAAGGGTCTCCCATGAAAGATGACCTTATCACAAAAATTGATAGGGGCGTACTCCGATGGTTTGGGCACGTTGAGCGAATGAGTGAAGACCGAATGGTGAAGAAAATATATAGCGCGAAAGTAAATATTAAAAGGTGTCGCGGTAGACCGAGACTAACTTTCGAAGACCATGTGAGCAAATTACTCGAAGAGGGGAAGGTCAAGAGTACTCGGATACCTAGACGTGCATGTATGAAGAAGATAATGAACCTGAAAGAAGCGAAAGAGGTATGTAAGGATCGTGACATTTCGATCTGTTCTGGCTACCCCGTTAGGGATTGTGCGTGAAGATAAGTAAGTAAGTAAGGTATTTATTTTGTGTTACTGTGTTTCAGCATGACTTCTTTGAATGAAGATGAGATTTATGCAATATTATCCAGAGTTGGAGACGAGGAAGAAGCGGTTCCACTAAATGATTTGGACAGTGAAGTTGAGGATATTTTAGAGACAGACAGTGAGCAACCTACAGATGCTTCAAGCGATTCTAATGATGAACCTCTTCGAGCATCAAATATTAGTCGCCGACGTCGAATAAATTCGTCTGACTTATCCGATAGAGCCCGACTTACGGAACAGATAAGCTCAGGCGAACGAAAACAGGCAGCTCAAATAATTTTTCCATCAAATAATAATTTGAGAGGTAAGAATGGTCATAAATGGTCAGCACAATCTTCCGAAGCTCGTACCAGCAGAACACAGTCAAGAAACGTTGTTCACATTATTCAAGGGCCCAAGAATGAAGCAAAAACTGCTATAACTCCATTGGAACAATTCAAATTGTTTGTTTCGGATTCGATGGTGAGTATCATTGTATTGAACACAAACGTAGAAATTTCTACTAAAAGAGAAAAATACGCCGCAAAAACAGCAACCGTTAGTGATACTTGTGCTAAAGAAATATATGCCTTGATAGGATTGCTGTTGTTAGCCGCAAGGAAGAAAGATAACCATCTGACCACCGCAGAGCTGTTCGATCCAGCTGAAAGTGGGATAAAATATATTTCAGACATGTCAAAAGATAGGTTCGCTTTTTTGCTGAATTGTTAAGATTCGACGAAAAATCAACTCGCGAAGAACAAAAGGCTACTGATAAGTTTGCGCCTATAAGGGAAATATGGGATATGTTTATTTCTATATGTCGAGATAGTTACAAACCTGGCTCATATGTAACAGTGGATGAACAGCTACTGTGGTTTCGGGGACGTTGTCCCTTCCGCATGTATATACCTTCAAAATCTGACAAATATGATATTAAAACTGTAGTTCTCTGTAACTCTAAGTCAAACTACATGATAGATGCAATACCATATATGGGAAAAGGCACAAACACGTAATTTTTAAATTATAATAGTAAGGTGTATCAGAAATATATGATTATGAACAATGTAACTCTAAATATAGTTCATGAATCTAGGGTAAAGATATACTCATTTCTAAGACTATTGCGCAGAGAAACTCCGATTTGAAATATAGTAATGTATCTTTAACGCAATTTATTGTAACCAAATATTGATACTAATTTGTAGTTAAGTTTTACACCACTTAGTTTAATGGGCAACAGCGATGTGTGCATATACGAGACGATGGAATAATAGCACGCAGAGGTTTAGTGACTGTAAACAGTGGCAGCGTACATCCTTGCGAACACATAAGTTAGTCGAGAGGGTGTGGGGGAAATTGTTTGAATAACAATCACGGAAACGTGCTCTGTTTAAAGCTTGCCAGCACCCTCACGAGAGTAACGCGGTTTGCGTTGTGAAATGTTTTCGGATGGAATTGATGTACGCACATAATGTACTTGTTCACTGCCAACAAGATTTGTTCAGGGAGAATTCTTTAGTTTATATTCAAAGTAGCTGCTATATCCGACGTTACACGGGTAAGGATATAAATAATACATAATCTTAGATTTGTAGTGGGATACGAAAATGTTTAGATGTTACAGAATACGTTTTAATACATACTTTAGTATACTTACTATACGTAATGTACACACCGTCTTAGTCCTCAGGGGCGACAATGCATTATTATTCTCATTCATAACAGCGATCTGGTCTCCTGTGCCGCGGGTTTATGTTTAATATTTACTTATGTATTTTTTATTTACATATTTTCATTTAAATTTCTGTACACACTAACCCGATGAGTAAATTATATAAATACCCCAGCAAATAATAATAATGGTATATTTTCAGAAAGCGTCGATCTATTTTATAATAAAAACAAACAGAGTTACATGATAAATTATAATTTGATGTTTTAACCTAGATATAAAATAATCATAAATAAAACAATGTTTAAATAATAATATGCGTGCTGCTCGATGAATGAATAAATAAATAATTGATACAAGCGTCTGTTGTGATTGTGTGTGGTCGCATTTAAATACGAAGTACAACTTCACCCTTACGTGTGGAAAAGAAGCAATGGATTATTAATGTCTATTAATGTAAACAACTATTTAGGCAATATTTTAGTTGTTACCTTGAGGTTGAATATTGCTTAGACCACTGGAAAGGGCCACATAATTAAAACTCAAAAATAAAAAAAAAACTAAAGGGGATACATTAACTGTTACACTGATTAATATTTCCAGTTACCGAGTAGTGGCGGTGTAAGAACAATTAGAACGTCCACTGCCGCAGGAGAACTGGACTGTTCCGTAGGTGATGGCGATACAGGGAAACAAAACGGGAGATGGGCAGCCACTGTGGGTTGAATATCCGCTTGCGAAACGTGATAGCTCGAGATCCGGAACAATTATTTATAGGCCATACAAATACTAGTTCCGTATGGAATTCGAACCCACGGCCCTCAGCACTGCACCTCATTGCTAAGCCACTGCGCCAAGAAGTTGTTAATCTACGGGGGATGGCTATACTTATGAACAGACTTTTAACAGTCTGTAACGTATTAATGAATGAACGAAGCGAGAAGTACGTCAGCACGAGCTGGAGCAACGCGACGGACCTGTAACTATTGCTTCCTAATCCTCTCAACTCTTAACCAATGAGAGAAGGCCTGTGTCCAGTAGCAAGTGTACAGGCTTGTAGAAAGGTGATTAAGTTTTAAGAATGTTCATTAATCTTGCAACCGTGAATTCAATACCTAAATGAACCTAATTTTGCGAATTTTATCTCAGTTAATTAAATTTTTTGATTATTTAAAAATATTGTACGTGAGGGTAATATGGTCAGTTTCTTTTAACTCAAAACCTATAGCCTTGTTTGCATAGAAGGCTCTGTGATATCTCTTCATCAGTCAATTAAATAATAAAACCTCAAAAGGGCACTGATTTATCGACGCCAATTTGACATTTGAAATTGTAGTAAATATTTTAGTCAATAATTTTAGTTTTATGTAGTGTAGTAAGTAAAATTAAATTCATTTTCCAAAATTTTCCTAATTATTGCCAAAGCTTATTTGCTATTGTCTTCATATTATTTTAGTTATAGTATATGTCTTTGTTTTTTATCTCTTTTTTCTCTTAGTTTTGGTTTTATAGGGCAGCAAAGCCGTATTACCCTCAAGTACCTTAATAATAAAATGTAAAATTATTTCAAATTTACGGGTAATATTTGCGTAAATAGTAATCATTATGTTTTCACGTCGAATTTGCATTTATAAAATTACGTAAGTCTATTAAGTTATGCAAACAAAATAATAACATTGAAGGCTTGCGTGCTGTTGTATAGTAAGTTAATAACGAGCGGCCACAGCGCTACCGGCGCGGACTGTGCAGGCCAATATCTGCAGAGTAATTTCACCAACAAATTACACGGACGAAGTAGCCGAAACGCCTCTCCTATTAGCCTATAACATACGATGCCCTGTTCGCAAATAAGTAATGACCACGTTTGTTTCCTGCAGGTGGCTTTACCTTTGTTATGAACTATTAGGGAACATAAAACTGACTTCATTTTACGATTGTTTCTTTTCTAGTTTGTTAGGTTAAGTGCCACTTTGAGTTTCTTCGTTTTAAAAAGTACTCCACGTTATGGCAGATTTAAGTATCATTGTTGTTGGAGCTTTTATTTTATTGCTAAATTATGATATTTTTAAAATTTAATCTGTGATTATTTTATTTAGGGAGACATTTTGTAGTGAATGCAGAAGTTAAGTATTATAATTAATAATCAATTAATTTAATTTAATTAATAATTAGTTTGTTTAGAGCCCGTCTGATTAGATAATTTATCTATTTCTGTTGTTAAGTAGTAATGTGTGCACTATTGTATTTGGATTTTAGGATATACAGAACGAGCAACTACAAGCTATCCAGCATATCATCTTTGTCCCGAGAGATGAGATAACAATGCATATGAATCAGATGGAACAGTATTAGTATAAGTGATGATAACCGGAGACCCGTTTTGATGATAACCAGGCATTCGATCTTAGTCCTCAGGGATGATAACATATTATCTGTACTACGATTGTTAATCAAGGATAAATCTAGGGCCTAACATATATGAGCTGGAGCATTCCCTTACCGTCAGGTGGACTGGGCTCCCTCATGTCCACCTTACATCTTTACATGTATATAAAATTGAAATGTCTGTGTTTAATATCGAAATAACTGCTTTTCATCGAGCTCAGCGGATTCATTTCATGTCATAGGACATGAATAGCCACTTGTGAATTTTTTGCCTGTATGTCGGTCTGTGCGGGGTAATCTTTTAAATGGATGAATCGATTGTGATGAAGCATTACACACAGATAGACAGCTAGGAGTAATTTTAGCTATTTATATTTTAACCGAAATACTTGAAGATGTTTTCTTTAAAAAAAAAAAAGGTCTTTGTTTATCCTTATGCTTAGTATGTAATACCTTATTCTAGAGCAAGCACACATGAAAAAACGGATGAGAAAATCGATGGGGTCAATCGGAACATAAATATTAGCTTAGATACATTTGCTTTTCAAGCCATCAGCAGGAATGTAGGTCGTCTATCGATTTAATGTAAACATTCTAAAATTACTATTTATTCAGCGCTCGAAAGTAATTCGTGAAAAATATTGTTGATGTTTTTTTTTCTTTTTTTAATAAAACTGAAGTTACAAACGAACTTGTGGTAAGTGGATACGCAGTCCCTGAACACCTGCATTAAACAACAAAAAAGGAAGCCCATAGAAGCACATTTAGCGTACAGAAATATATTGAGTTACCTTTGATGAGGTGCGCGGCGAGCACGAGCGCGGCGGTGAGGGCGTGCCGGCGCCACGCGCCCGCACCCGCGCACATCGCGCGCCAAAGATTCACGCGCGCTCTGCACACACAACACGTAAACAATCAAAAATATCACTTCTCCTAATTTTATAAAGGGGTTCATCTAACATATTGAAGGATTTATGCATGATTACCCCCGGGAATGACGTGATCATAACCAAGCAATTTCTAATTTTTCATCATCATCATCATCATCATTACAGCCCTTCACAAGTCCACTGCTGAACATAGGCCTCCCCCAAGTAATGCCACAAAGCACGGTCCTGAGCCACCTGCATCCATCGACTTCCTGCATGTCTTACCAGGTCGTCACTCCATCTAGTGTGGGGGGGGGGGTCGCCCTACACTACCCCTATCAGTACGAGGCTGCCAATCAAGAAACTTTCTTCCCCATCGGTTATCGGTTCTTCGAGCTATATGGCCGGCCCATTGCCAATTCAGCTTACTAATCCGTTGAGCTATGTCGGTCTCTCTGGTTTTACTGCGGATATTTTCATTTCTAAGTCTATCACGCAGTGAAACTCCGAGCATAGCCTTCTCCATAGCTCGCTGAGCAACCTTGAGCGTCCTCATACGGCCAGCGGTGAAGGACCACGTCTCAGGTCCGTAAGTCATCACTGGCAACACGCACTGGTTATACACTTTAGTTTTCAGAGATTGAGGTATACCTGACGAGAAGATGTGTCGTAATTTCCCGAACGCTGCCCAGCCGAGTTGAATCCGTCGATTGACCTCTCGGTCGAAGTTGGACTTACCTAGTCGGACTATTTGTCCCAGGTAAACGTACTCGTCAACAACTTCGAGCATAGTGCTCCCA